GTAACTAGAAATCACAGGGCCCCATACAAAATTTTTGCTATGGGGCCCTGTGATTTCTAGTTAGGCCCCTGTGTGTGTGTGTATCTGTTTGTGTCTGTATATATTTGGCTCTAGTAGTTCCCATATCCATGTAGATTTACATAGTTACATAGTATTTGAGGTTGAATAAAGACATTAGTCCATCAAGTCCAACCTATATAGAACTGGACCCTGTGAGCTAAGTGATTAGTGAGCTAAGAAAGTCATCTGCCTGTGCTCTCTCCTGTTGGACTACAGAACACCTCCTCCATATATTATGGAGATAGGTTGAATGTATTCTGAAGCCAAGCAATTAGAACTTGGCACTGCTGACAATGCTGCTTGGGATTTCAGTGCAGCGGAGGTATTGTGTTACTTCAAACAGAAAGATAGAAGCACACTGGATTGTTGTGGGATTTTTCTGTATCTGCAGCATGTGTGAAGGGAAAAACATTGGAGAAATGTATTTCAAAGATGAAGTAACTATTTTTTTTCATGCCCAGACATACAGTTTATACAGGACCACTGGCTCTTGACATGTGAAATTAATTGGTAAAAAACATGGCAGTATCACCAAGTTGCATTAATATTTTTAGTAAAAATTGCTACAAAGTGTCTTTCATACTTTGCTCTCTCCTCCTGTCAGAGAAGTTTTGGTGTTAGATAGATTGTACTGTGATTAGTAATATACCAGCTGTATGTATGAATATATTTAAATATTTTGTTCAGAGATGATAAATGATGGTCTCCTCTATCTGTCTGGAATTCAGCTGTAGAGATTCCATATGTAAATGTTGTTAGGTAATGCTAAACCTGAACCATAATTATTTTGTTTAGCGTTCTTGGTTTTTTTGTGAACAGGAAGCAGTCAGACAGACTTTGGACCTCAGCTCAAAGAACTTAATAAAAATATGTTTACATTAATTGCATGGGACCCTCGAGGATATGGACTCTCCATTCCACCACATCGAGACTATCCTATGGACTTTTTTGAAAAGGATGCAAAAGATGCCGTAGACTTGATGCAGGTAATTTTATTTTAGGGTCGGAAATACTTGATGCACTTTATGTACTGGAAATCCAGATCAATCAAAGTGTTTCTATGTCTTGCTATGTTGTCCAGTGGTGTATTTAGGTTTCGTGCTGCCCTAGGCAAAACGAAACTCGCCCCCCCCCCCATCTAACAAGACATTTTGCGTATTCTTTCAAGTCGCTGGATACAGCGTCTGACAGATTGCGCTATTAGGCCTTATTCACTTATTCACACTGCTAAGAGTCGGCTCGTACAGATCCGTGGGACGTGCACGGCCGTATCGGGCCGTTCCCGGGAAGGACAGGTGCTGCGTGTGATTTGTACGCAGCAGCCTGTTCTTCTCTATGGGAGGACGCAGCTGTACGCTCACCTGAACTGCATGTCCGTGTGGATGTCCATACTCGTACACAGACAGGATGGATCCTATTTGCGTCCGAGCATGGACACCCGCACCAGCACGGATGTTTATGGGCCAACTCTGAAGGCCGTGACACACAGCGCGCAAAGCCGTGCAGAGCGAAGCAAAGCTGTCCGGCACGGAGCTTTGCGTGCTGTGTGTGAGCTGAGTGTAGGCACATGATTGACTGCACCTTCAGCCAATCGGCTCCTGCATAACAACCAGCCAGATGTCGCATCACGCCGGTTTATACGCGCGAGCCGATTGGCTGAAGATGAAATATTTAATCTCGGCACGCTCAGCTACGCGAGCCCTCGCAAGCTGAGGTGCCGAGGCGAAAATTACATGACACACTGCTCGCGAAGGCATCGCGCCACCGCTCCACGCTGCTTCGCGTGCAGTGCGTCACAGCCTTAAGCAGTGTGAATGAGGCCTTAGTGTTGCAGGGAAGCCGGGGTCTCAAGTGGGCTGTAAAGGATCTCTGGTGGGCGCTGCAGGATGTCAGGCTGAGACCACCATAGACCTTGCAGTGCCCATCTGAGTTCCGTCAAACCCCACCAGAGACCCCCCAGAGCCCACCATAGACCTTGCACAGAGACTTTAAGGTGGGCTGTGCATGATCTATTATGGGCTAGGGGGTCTAAACAGACCCCTGATATTTCCCTTTTAAAATAGAAAAAGAGCTTGAGGACACAAAGTCCTCAATCTCTTTTTCTGCAGCCCCTGTTATCAATGAACAGAAATCCTCTATACTGAGTGTTCCTGTTCATTCATAACATGAGGACATTGTGTGTTTACTATAACCACAACTATGAATGAACAGGAGGTGATGTAGATCACTCCCATTCATTCATAATTGAGCATATAGTTAACATAACATGTCCTCAATTATCTACTAAAACGCAGCGATCACTGATCATTGAGTGTTTGTACCCGCTCTCCTCTCTGACACGCTGTCACGGGATGCTGAGCGAGCGGTGCAGGGAGGAGAGCTCAGCCTCCTGGGACAGCGCTGTCTCCGCCCACACACCTCTCTGCCGGACTGTAATAGGAGGCTGAGCGGTGTGGGAGGAGAGACGCCGGCCGCTCACAGCGCTCTCCTCCCGCAGCGCTCGGCCAGCTGTCAGTTTCTCTCCCTGCTGGGACACAGAGCAGCGCCCAGTGGGTAGGAAAGTAAGCACGGATGCGCCAATGTATCGGCAGGAAAATGGCACTTTCGACATTTAGCCAAAAGTGCAATTTTCGGCCGATATGTTTTGGCGGCCGATATATCGGTGCTTTCCTAGTAATAACAGCCAATCTTCTAAGAAAGCTTTCCACAAGAGTTTGGGGTGTGTTTCTATGGGTATTTATGTGCCTTTAGTTAAAATAGCATTTGTTTCAGTCATGTACAGATGTTGGACAAGAAGACCTGGTTTGTACTCAGCATTCCACTTAATCCTAAAAGTGCTCAATAGGGTTGAGTCCCTCCACACCAATTTGTTTCTATGAACCTGGCTTTGCCCATAGACAAGTTATGGGGCATAGTCATGCTGGAAGAGAAAAGGGCCTCCCAAACTGTTGCCACAAAGTAAAGCACACACTTGTTTGTAAATATTGATTGTAGGGCTGGTACTGATTTAAAATTTTCGTGTTCGATTAATCAAATTTTTTTTAAATCGATTAATCGATTAATTTCGATTAATAAACCCCCTTCCCTTCGTTAGCCGACGGAGCCACTTGAGGAAGGGGGGAGGAGTCCGGTGACGTCGATGTCCGTGATGTCACCGGATCTCTGACGGGACTCCCGGAACCCGACGGAGAGGTGAGTGTTTTCATTTTTGATCAAAATAATTTTAATCGATCAAAAAGTTTAACAATTAATCGAGAAATGAATCGTTAATTTCCACAGCCCCAATTTCTGGACATGGCATGCAAACTGATGCACATTTAAATGAAAGCTAAAGACATGTCCATGCCAGTGTATTTGATTAGCAATGATGAATAATTTAGTCAATAAAACACTTGGCTCAATAAAAGACCCTTTGTGGCTATCATGTTTCCAGTGCATTTTCATAATAAGACCTATCCATCATTTCATGTAAATCAATATAATTTCTCTACATATATGTACACAATTTTGTATGTACTGATTTATGCTGGAGCCAAATTAAAACGACAATGAATATCAGATAGACAAACTTTTGAACAAATTCACACACTTATTATAGTAAAATTAGATACAGGTACTTCTCCATTTTCAGACATAGTGATGCTAGCCATGTAAAGATAGATGTGGCCAATAATGTATAGCATCGAGTGTATGCTTATACACCCTTTACTGTTAAGCTCCTGTCCAAAGGTTGTCTTATTGATTATCAGACTCTGCCGGATCACTCACTGTGTACCCTAAATAGGTGACACTTACAAAAAGAATGACGCCAATCCATGTATTGGTACAGCAGTCAAATTAGCAAATATGCATATGAGATTAATTAAAGGTCCCATGTTTTATATTGTATATTTCTAGGTGAGCTGACTAAGATGTTTAAATATGCTACTGTCCACTGAAAATACTGCTACAGTCCACTGAAAAGTGAAATTGTAGTTTTCTGTCCTTATAATACTCACCGGCCCAAGTGGCTCCGTCGGCTAACGAAGGGGGGGGGGAGGAGTCCGGTGACATCAACGTCACCGGACTCCTCCCCCCTTCCCTTCGTTAGCCGACGGAGCTACAAATCACCGGATCCCAGACAGAACTCCCGGAAGACCCGGAAGCCGGCGGAGAGGTGAGTACCAATCAAAATAATTTTAATCGATCAAATAAATTAACGATTAATTGAGGAATTAATCGTTAATTTCCGCAGCCCTAATTGATTGCATGTCTTTGTGCTTGATATTATGTACCTAGTTTTGAAATGGGATATCCAAGCTAATATAGCGTAGGTAATGGTCAGATCTCAGTGCTTTATTTTAACCCATAACCAACAAGGTACACGCAAAATGTTGGCCATATTGTGTAAGTAGCTGAGTAGATTTAATTTGCAAAGGTATCAAAACCTTTCTGCTCCCTTTCTACAGGCAATAGTGTAGTGTAAAAACAGACTTTTCTCACAATTTATACATATTAGAAGAGGATATGAAGGTTGTCATCATTCTGACAAACATCCATAAAGATGGCCACAGATATTAGATGATAGTCTCCAAATCCTGTTTTTTGGTGGATCAAGAGACAGTCTAATATGTATGCCACTCACCAGTAGACAGCTCTGACCAGTGGCGGAACTACCGCCGGTGCAGGCGGTGCGGACGCACCAGGGCCTCCGGCCTCTAGGGGGCCCAGCACAGTCCCAGCGCCGGATCGGTACCCAGCGGCCAGAGAGAGCTCTGTGTTTGTGGGGGCAAAAAAAAATCTTGCACCAGGGCCCTTTGTTCCTTAGCTCCGCCACTGGCTCTGACCACGGCTTGTTTGGGGGAGTAGATTGCCGGGTACCACAGCACCTACTTGTCTTCATAGCCTTAACAGAAACGATCAACGTGCAGTTGTTCACGCTTAGGTAAGTGCCACAACATGTAGATGGTGGAAGGCACTAGGATCTTTGTGTCTGCACAATCCAGATTTTCTCTGGAGTCTATGTTAGTTATTAAACAAACTCTTACACACGTACTAATCAGTCTCCCCTATTTTGACCAATCTGCCAGGATTGCAAAAACAAATTCAATGAATACCTTATAGGGAGATGACACAGACATCTAAGGACAGTGAGAGAGAGATTTATTACTGATTTGCCGTGTCACAGAATTGATAAATGACCCCCAATGTCTTTTGAAATGTCGAGATGTAAATCTTCAGTGCCCTAAAAGCATCAGGGTGACAGTGATCGTCTGTGTATGCTTAAACATAAATTTTTTAAACTACGTGTCATATTGCTTCTTTTGCCATATTGCCTCTCCAGCTGACTTTACTGTCTCTAGCATACACGCCACTTGGGTTGTCCCATGTGCCTCTTGCACACACACCACCAACTATTGAACTCCAGTCTCCTTTTCTCCACTTATAGTGGAGCTGTCCTGTCATCACAGGGTTTCGGACCTCTGTCTTTGCCTGCTATCACTGTATGAGCATTTCCGATTTATGCCCCTCACCGAGGGTGACGTGCCTGTGAATGATCCCTGGATCCTTCTCCAAATATAAAAAGAGAACTTTGCGCTACTGTTTGTTAGCGGCCAGAGTTTATATTTCAAGACACTGGAAATACAGTCACCCCCCCCTATGCTCATGACATGGGCCCAGATAATCAATGCAATTTACACTATGGAGGATCTGGTGGTGTTTGACCAAAACAGGACTGACAAGGTTCTAGAGAGCTGGTCCGGCTGGTTAGTCTTTAGGGATGCTATAGAATTCAAACAAATGCTCGACTTCTGCAAGGCTACTTACTGATCCTGTGGTTTAGCAGTACCTGAATGCTAACGCATATTGTGTGAATCTATTAGTATTGTTTTCGGAAGCGTTCCCTCTGATGTTGAGTGGATCATTGTTGTTGATTTGCTGCTGTATACTTGCGTTTTCGATGTTCTTGCATACTCCGTTTGTAATTGATCGGGGATATGGATGAAGACTTGTTTTATACTGTTCCTTCTACTTCTGTATGATGTTAAAACCTTTAATAAAAAGAGATTGACTGACTGAACTCTGGTCCAGTCTTCTTAATAAGACTGACTCCAGCCACCTCTTTGGTCTATGTCGGTAACTGGCAACACCCAGACCCAGGATTGAAGACTTCATTCCTCCCAAGACACTTACAGGGTTATTTAGAAAAGGGTGAAGAGTTTGGAGAAGGCAGGAGAAGGGAACAATCTAGGACACAATAGCTGAACTGTAAAGTGAGCTGAATTGGAGAATTTTTCCAAATCATATATGTTGAGCTATCTTCACCTTTTTGTGAATAACCCTGTTAGAGATCACCAGGGTCTCAGATCCCAGCTATACTCCAGAAAAACTGAAAAGACCTCAAAAGCCAGCTCTTTCCCTGTATAATTAATCTAGAGAAGAAAATTGCAATCAAAAGCTCAATACACAAGAACAGCCAATTAAATTTAGGAACAAATCATATCTCAGACTGAGATATGATTTGTTCCTAGATTTTGCTCTTTGTCTTGATAGACCTGTTACGTCTAAACAAAGCACTGCACTGATCAAATGACAGTCTTGTAAATACACACAACTCTAGCTGAACTCTAGCTGAACAAATGTGTTAAAAGCAAATCTTGCTAGTGCTTAGATTATTATTATTTTACAAAAAAATTAAGAAAATGTATGCCAGACCCCCAAACAAAGAAAAATGAATAACATAAAATCCCAACCACCTTTACAATTGTATTGCGTGTTTAAAATAAGCCTTTGGCTGAGTATACCAGGCAGTAGGTCAGGGAATCGGAAAAGTCACAAATCCCTTGAGGCTGCAGTATACATGAATGTGCTGCCCATGACATCCTGCTGAGTGTGCTGTTAATACCACTATAAAGGGAGGGGGTTTTATACAAGTGTCTCATAAAATGAAGCATAGTGACAATAAAAATAAACATATATTTGCAAATAATTCTGAAAGTTATCATTAAGAGTCTCAGAGAATAAACAGCTTATAGCATTCAGATCATAAGCAACACATTGACCTAATATTGTGCATGAATGTCTGTAAGAAGAGCTGTTTGTTGTGTATTTCACAAAACAGATTTTCTTTATACCATTACATTATATTCAATAAATAATTGTATTATATGCATCAAATGGCATATTAGTTCTGCTTTCCTACGGTATGGGCAGGGTCCTCCTTACCATCTTGTCTTGAATTGTATTGTGATTATAATGTCTTCCTTATATTGTAAAGCGCTGTGCAAACTGTTGGCGCTATATAAAACCTGCATAGTAATAATAATATTAATAATAATAATAATAATATGCCATATAATGGTAATTTAAGTACTTCAAGGATCTATGTTTTGAGAAAGCATGGAGGCTGCCATTACTGACCTCGTCTTCTGAAGATGACTGATGCCTGACTACCATGAACCCTTTAATTCTTCAATATAAGGCCAAGCAGTGCAGCCAGGTGCAGGTGTAATATATTTATGAATTATGACAGCGGCATCAGAATTAGTGTTGCCACCTTTTCTTTAAGGAAAACTCGAACACTCTAGCACTGCGCAGCAAATTGTTTTTTTTTTGGAAGAATATACGGGAGAGAGCAAGAAGACACATCCAGGGAAGAGAGTGAGAAGAGACAACCAGGAGAGATAGCGAGGAGGATGCGCAAGGAGAGACAGCCAGGATAGAGCGCTAGAAAAGACAGCCAGGAGAGATAGCAAGGAGGATGAGCAAGGAGAGACAGCCAGGAGGGAGAGAGGGGAGAGACAGTCAGGAGTAAGAGAGGGGACAACCAGGGAGACAACCGGGGAGAGAGAGGAGAGACAGCCATGGGAGAGAGAAGAAAGACAGCCGGAGAGAGAGAGGAGAGGCAGCGAAGAGTAAGGGAGGCAAGACAGCCAGGGGAGAGAGAAGAGAGACAGCCAGGGAGAGAAAGGAGAGACAGCCAGGGGAGCGAGAGGAAACACAGCCAGGGGAGAGAGAGACAGCCAGGAGAGAGAGTGAAGAGGATGAGCAATACGAGAGAGCCAGGTGAGAGAGTGAGCAATGAGAGTTAGGAGATAGAGAGGAGAGTCAGCCAGGGGAGAGACACAGCCAGGAGAGAAAGTGATAAGAGATAGCAGGCAACACATCGGACTGAAGCACAGTGCTCTTCATGACTTATCTGCACCCTGTGTTTCAGACACCTGCCAGAGTTCCAGTGTCCCTCTGTGTCCGGAGCCTCTTCTTTGCACTCAAATTGCACCAGCAACATGCACTCAAATTGCACCAGGACCACGTGGTTGTCGTCGCCTGTCTGACATCATGACATCTTGTGTCTGGGTTTCAGTTGGCCTGAAACCCAGACACACAGGACACCAAACCCAGACTGTATTTAGTACTGTATAACATATAACCTTCCTGGAAAGGCAGCACTACTGCATTGCACTGTGCTATCAGTGAGATACTTGGGCATACTGACAAGAGAAGGGAGCAGATTGTATACCTCATTAATGTAATGGTTTTATTTCTTTGTCCAATCAGCAGGCTGGCAGTGAATCAATGACTAAGTATATACTGCTTAAAGTGACCTTGTATAAGGTTCATGGTACTGTAGGGACCTTAAGGATTATATTGTCTCCTTACCCTAGTTATATCTACTACCTCCCACAATGGGTCACCATTGGAGCTTGCAGAAGTACCCACTTAATTTGGTTATGGGGGGGCACACAACAGTTCCACAACACAGCACAAAGGTGCTCATGCAGCCAGTCATCAGGGATTTTCCACAAGCTGAAACTTACACGGGAATTTTGGGCAGCCTTGCATTGGGACAGGGCGGTGGATAAACATGGTGAAGCTAAGCACATACTCCTTTGGGAGCATACAGCAAGATTTAGCCTGTTATCCTGTCAATATGGACAGCGTACAGGTTTATTTTACAATAAAAATACAAAGATTAAGTATGAATATGAGATCCGTATTATTTGTTAAACGAATTTGTAATTCTGTCCTGCCAGTCCGGAAATTTACACAGCACTGTCTTGCTGGCAGGGGAGGGGACCTGATCTTTCTCTGCTGTAGTTTTCTATTCACTTATAGCTTTCCTTCCCACCCATGCCCGGTGTCTGGACATTGCAAGAAGAAGCAGCAGACTGATGAGCTCATCTCTCTATCACTCTGCTCTGTTCCCTTTACACTGCAACACACCTAATTGTGCTGCTTCTCTTTTCCTCTCTCTGAGCTCTACTGCTTAGTGAATGCAAGAGGTTGATACCAAGTCAAACTAAGGTACTTACAATGCTTACTTTAAAAAATATATATTTTAGGATTTAATAATACATACCGGAACTGCGTATTTGTGTCTTTTATATCTGCCTGGGCGTTGGCAAGTGGAGTAGAGAAAAATTAGGTCACTGACGTGGCTATGCTGTCTGACAGGATTGCCAGAATCATACGACAAGTGAAACAGAATTTTTATTTTTTTGGAAAGTAAGCAGTTTACATATGCTGTATATATATTATATTTCTGTACTGAACTAGTGAAACATATTTTTTGTTGTAGGCCCTACAATTCAAGACATTTTCATTACTAGGGTGGAGTGATGGTGGTATAACTGCATTGCTTGCTGCGGGAAAGTACCCATCTCTAATCAATAAACTTGTTGTCTGGGGAGCCAATGCCTATGTGACTGAAGAAGATCTGAACATTTATAATGGTAAGGTTAGGAATAAATTATATGGCCATTATCATAACCTTATAAAACAAGCTGAATGTATTAAAGTAGGGATACATTTAAACCCCTTACAGTTGTGGTTCCCAGCCAGAATTGAAACTAGAAACCTCAGGGCCCCGGTGCAAGAAACCATGTAGGGCCCCTTCCCACCTGCGGAACGTTGGCCTGCTGCATGCTGGGAGCTATACTCCCAGGGGGCAATGTTGGTGCTTCGGCGGTTACTGGGGCCGGGCCCTCTTCTTCCTTTCTGAGCCCCTCCAAAGTGGTGGACCACCAAGGCCTGGTCCCACATGCGACCGATGTTACCCTGGAAGCTCCACCAGTTGATGATACACAGGGAATCAAGTATGGAAGAAGAACATGGGGTGATACACAGAGGATCAGGTATAAGAGAAGAGGTGATGCACAGAGGTTCAGGTATTGTAGAAGAAGGGGAGATAATATACAAGGGATCAGGAATGGAAGAAGATGGTGTGATACAAAGGGTATCATGTATGGGAGAAGAAGGGGAGATAATACATAGGGGATCAGAAATGAGAGAAAAAGGGCTGAGGATACAAAGCGGATCAGGTACAGGGTGTGTGATTTGCACATGTGGGAGAGGAGGGACACATATTGTGAAGTGTGACAGCTGGGTGGTCACGTGGTACAGATGGTAATGATGGCAATGAAGGTGGCCGTCAGCACTCCCTTCCCTTCATCTTACACGCGAGCAAGGTGTCTATTCGGGCACAACCAAGTGGCTCTCCTTCTCCAGTCCAAGCCACTACACTGCCATCTTTTTCCTCCTCTCTAGTGCATTGGAGCAGCTGCTACACAGGCCAGGGAGGTCACAGCTCCACAGAAAGTGAAGCAAGTTGTAGAAGTGCGTTTGGCGGGGCCAGGGCCGGGCACTCTTCTTCCTTTTGCACATGCGATCTCTGCAACCCTGGTAGTTCTGCTAGTTTTTCCAGCATATGACGTCACTGGTCAGAATACCCAAACAATTGCTGTAGCTGACCACTGCCAGATAGTGAATGCATTCTGGAATATGTCATTTTAGACTGTGCATACCCAATGATATGGTGTCGCAGCAACATTACTACATAGTTATGTACTGCGGCAGTAAGGGGGAAGAATAAATACTTATTTCCTATGCTTCTCAGCTTCATCCATTGGCCATAATGTGATATTTTTCTGATATTAAATTCAAACTGGAAAGAAAACATGCTAATAACATTTGTGTTTGCCTCTAGATAAGTATGAACAAATGTTCATGCAATTTCACAGGGCAAATGGCTATGCAAATTGTTTACAGCCCATAGTGTTATACAGAGGTATACAAGTTTGTTCATGAAGGTTTATGCAGTATATCTCCACAGAACTAAAAGTTGCCTAGCATGTATTAAAACAAACAGCCAAAATAGTGGCATAGACAGACAGATGAATAAAACTGCACAAACCATATATAAACAATATACAAAGTATATGGCATGGCAGTGTATATTTTAAACATTTAAGGATAACATATATTTTAAACAATAAGGAGCATCCAAATATCCATCATCCAAATTATAACTGGTGTTCATTTCAAGTTTTTTGTTCATATAGTAGCTCCATCATTTAATAGCGCCACTCCCCTGCTATTTCCATTCCTGCTGACGTCCTATGCAATAGTTATTGTTAAGATGAAGTTTCCCTTTAGGATGTCACCCCTATTGCAGTTGTCAGTGTGAATATAGACTTGTGGTGTATAATCTGTGTGACAATCCAAACTGCAATAAACACAATAACTCATCTTGCAATCTATTTAGCTGTAAAAGATGTGGCAAACTGGAGTCAAAAGATGAGACAGCCCATGGAAGATTTATATGGAAAGGAGTATTTTGCAAACACATTTTCTGCTTGGGTTGAAGCTATCAGTCTGTTTGTGAATGTATCTGATGGTAAGTGTATTCACTAATGACAAGTGTGCCTAGAAACAGTCATTGGTTTATTTGTTCCAATATGATAGTACTAAAAATATCTAGTAACATAATATGAAGTACGATTGTGTTTACAATTAAAATGACTGGAGTAATTGATAATTACTGTCCCACTAAAGTGCTGCCATGTTCTTAATATAGAAGTTATTAATATGTTATCAGATACTTCACCAATGCAAAAAGCAGGGGATTTATTCCACATTGTAGGATAGCAGTTACAGCCCTGTACCAAATTCTTAAGAGTATATTTACACATCATACTGTTAGAATAAGAATTACTGTTCTTTACACTGCTTTAAATGGGGGGTTTAGCCCATATCCTGCTATAGTTTGGTATTCCTCAAGCCCCAATTCACAGAGACATTTGTACTGTACATTGCACGCATGAAGATCTAATTAGCTTTTAAGAGCTACAGTATATTCAGCAAGATGAAATAAATGACTTTGTAAATTTAAACTGTATCTTTGCAATAGGCTGAACTCGATGGACTCTATGGGTTGTACTCAATGGACTTGTGTCTCTTTTCAACCTGACTAACTTTGGAATGAATGATTCTGGATGCAGAAGTGGACAAAGGCAAAAGGGAATGATTTACATGGCTTTGTCCAATACCCCGAAAATTAAGAATGGGGACTTAAGTTAGAACTGATGACATGTAAACAACTTCTGTCTTATGAAAACATATTGTGAAATGTAAACTTTGCAGTTTGGTTTTCCCTAATAAAACAGAAGGGCAATCTGTAAATTGATGATGTAGGATGTGAAAATTAGTGTAGGGTTCAAAGAGCGTGCAGCACTGTTGTTGATGTTTTGTTTGGCTGTACACCATTAGTATTTTACCTCACAATAATATTCAGTAAAGGTGGTCAGGGACAGATGATGGTATGAAATATTAGAAAGAAACCGTAGATCAATTGTCTTTAACAGAATACCATGGATTCAAAATTTAAAAGAACCAAACACATACCATTAGCTCATATCTGCAGTATATAATAGGTGTGGCCGACAATCAAGCCTAAATGGACACGTATCAGTGATGGCAAAAGACATCCTCAGGAGGTGGAAGAACATGGAATTGGTCAAGCTGGAAGTTTTAGATGATCATCCATTGTTCACTCTCACTGCAGAGAAAAGCACAGTAGTTCACAGCCCACATAGGCGGAAATGCAAGAGTGCATGAATCAACAGGAAAAGCTTGAGCATTTGCATTTTCCTCTGTTTTCTTATAAGTAGCTCTTTCATAATCAGGGCCACAACAGGCGTGTGGGGGTATTGGGTAGCTACCCAGGGCCCCCATTCCCTACTCCATGGCTACAGTGCAGTTAGTCCTGCCCTGTAACTCTGCAGAGTATAAAAATGATCAGCACCAGCAAGTACTAAAACAGTAATTTATTGACTTACTGTAAAAGCTTGTACAACAACTACGTGTTTTAGACAGACTCTGCTTGAAAAAGGACAAAGTCTGTCCAAAACCCATAGCTTTTGTCCATGCTTTTACAGTGATTAAGTTCCAGTGAAAAACACTGCTTAAAAGCATTTTATAAGCTGCTGAAGCTTTCTTTCTGACTTATGTACCACTTCTTACTACAGTAAATATAGATTGCACTAAATTAGATTGAAGTATTAAATTAGAATAAAATGTTTGGTTTCTTAGCAGATGTTAAAAGAGCCCATGTCCTATCCTCAAGGCTGTTTATTTTTTCTGTAGGTAATATATGCCGACAATTGCTACCCCAAATTGATTGTCCAACATTAATAATTCATGGTGTCAAAGACCCAATGGTTCCATCATTTCATCCAGAATATCTTAACCAGCACATTAAAAACTCAAGGTAAGAAAAAAGCTTCAGTTCCATCTTATTAATTATCTGTGGCTTGTTGACATTTTAATACCATTATGAATCAGATTTATCACAACCTAGTGCATAGTTAGAGGTTGGTTTAATTAAAAATGTTCTTAGTTTTTCCAGATAAACAGGTCAGCAGTTGATGCATACACACACGACAGAAGTGACAACATATGTAATACAGATACAGATGTTTTGCCTCAGTTTATTCAAACTAAAATGGTGGTAATGTGACTATCACTTTGAGGTCAGAATGAGTGTAGTGGGATGTGTCACAATGCGAGCAAAAGGAGTGGAGAGGGATGTTCTGATTGGTTCTTGGGTTCTTCACTGGTGTATTTATATTTGCTTTGTATTATACACCTTTTATCACATTGCCTTATGAAGGCACCTTGCGTGGTCCCGAAACGTCGTTTTTTTCTTTGATTTCATGGTCAACCAACGTCAATAAAGGCGTTTTTAATGAAGATTTAGGTGTGCTGGTGACTTACTCTCTACATGCCTGACTGCAAAACACATTTTCCTTTAGATGGTTTAAGACAGGCAGATATACAGTAAAGTACAGATACTGTATCTATCCCATAGAGTCATATAGAGAAAATATAAACCTGAGCTGATTGACTACAGGAACATTTTAAAAGGAACAGCATATTCAATATATTCCTGGCTTGACCTCTTACTCCAGTTTACCCCAAAGAACATCTGTAACCTTTGATATACTTACACGTTCAGGAAGTCTTGAGGCATTAAAAGTCTACGGGACCTCTCAGACATGGACAACAAGCTAATGTCCTCCTCCCTCCCTCACTTTCCCTGCCAGCCATATCTTATATTATGCTCAAATTAGAAGTTTTCTAACTGCTTTATTGGGCCCAAAAGTGACTATAAAGACCCACCACACACTTCAACATCTACTTTTCTCATTCTCTATAAAAATTTAATTTCTTGGACATATCCATTTATTAGAGAAGCCTCTAATGAAATGTAAGACACATTCAAAATAATCTCAAAATGGGCTTCATTTTTTTTAAGGATAGAAAACTGTACCTCCCTAGTGAGGTCTGGTGTGAAATACAATTTAACATCATCCAATACGCGTCTCACAAACTGCAAACAGCACAAAAGTAATTCAGAACATCCATTATGGACCTGCACATACATAAATAGATTTTGGCATCAAACCTATGGCCTCATGTCACAAGGGGATATACTAGAAGCCCCTCCTCTACTACAGAACTATTCCACACAGACCTAAATTATTCACACTCCCCACGTATTCCACCACTTTCCATATTGAAAAACCTCTGCATTTTGCCAGTGAAGAAGTGTAATGTGGCAAAATGGCTTTCTCCACAGGCTCTGTCCAAGAAGATCTCACACAAACCCTACAGAAACTTATGCTTCTGGACCAAACACATTCTATAAAACCTAAACAAAACTACCACCAACAATGGGGCATGTCTGGACCCCTTTTTTGCAACTTACTTTACTACCAGCTCAATTGTACTTTACTACCAGCTCAAAATTCCACCCACCCCTCCCGAAATCATAACACTCCTCCTACATTACTATTAAATTACAACATCGCATACTACTATACACACAACACCTTACTCCCTGGAAGCTACAGGCCTCCCCTTCTTCCACTTTAACTTACCCAACCAAACTGCACTTTTCACACAACTAATCAACTTTCAATAAGGGAAATGTCAGGCTGGTTGTATGTGATATTGAAGGCTTAAGGGGATGTAAACCACTTAAATCTCATGTGAATGTAATTTCCAAAGCCGTTTTCAAAATTCCTAAATCTTAAGCTTTCATTAAAATAATAACTGGTTTTACTGCTATAAAGGTTCATGTATTCCTGTTTATAGTGAGACAACACTCCCAGTTGTGCTCCTGTATTGTTATTATGTTACATAGACTTCCAATGGAGAATATAAATTGGCATATCAGCACATATTACACAAGCATGGTCTATTGTTGTCACTATCTAGGAAACATGAGAAATGCCATGCAAGACTGCAGTGCATGTATGTAGACAGGAATGGCTGCAAAGAGACTGCAGGACATCAGCATTTCTGAAATACAACAAAGAATGAAAACAAGGTGTAAACAATAATGTTATTACCAAACAAATGACAACTGTTTATGACAGTAGTGACAGTAGTGGTGTAGGGGGCCGAAGGAATGAAACCACAAGGTGTGTGGGGCTTGTAGTCATCCATTATATTCAGAATTGCTTTAAATGTGTAGATTATGCAAGGGGGTTTGTTCTTCAAGAAATAATTTTTCTTTCTAACCAGAGAGAAAAATCCCCTGTGTACTCACAGTTTTGCTGATCTGCGGCATGTATTATCCTGGAAATGATCGTGTGTCTATTTGCCTAAAGTGTGTCTATTTGTCTTAATTTGCATTTGATTACTGCATTTCAATATTAATATGATGTCAATACAAAGTTTATTATTATGAAATAACATGTAGATTGGAAGTTTTGTACTGTATATTAGGGAAAGGGGGCTTGTTAAACCCTATTGGTGTCCTATCTACTTAAAGTATTACTAAAAAAAAGTATTATTTGTATATTTTTCAGATTGCATCTGATGCCAAATGGCAAACATAATCTTCACCTGAGATATGCTAAAGAGTTTAACAGTTTAGTTGAAGAATTTCTGCTCTTACCATGATGTTTCAGAAGAACAGGACTACGATGAACTCTATTGGGAAATAATTGTATATTTTATGAACCTCATTTGTAAAGGAACACAATGATCCACAAACAGAATGATTTCACAAGAAATAAATCAAGTTGATTCAAAGGTCCTCACAAAGTTTCTGCCTTCACAACAGTTTGTAATTCTTAAATTATGTATTTTCTTTTGTAAAGTTGGCTATACACCTATAGCTTATCTGCAGATGTTGTATGGTCAGATGGAAAAAGTGCAACAGATTCCTCCATCTATGCTAAACTGTGTGGATGGAGGAATCTCCCACTGGGCCAAGCTTCAGTATATTGCTAGTCGGTCCCGCCGGCTCTCAAAATATCTGAACAATCTGATTGGATGCAGGCAACGTTCAGGTATTTTGAGAGCCAGCGGGGCCAACTAGCTAGATACTGAAGCTTGGCCCAGCGGGAGATTCATCTATCCACACAGTTTAGCATAGATGGAGGAATCTGTTGCACGTTTTCCATCTGACCATAGAACATTTGCAGATAATCTATAGGGTGTATGGCCAGTTTAAGAATAAGACAAACCTATGCTTTGTTCATTCAGTGCAAAGGGAAGTGAAACTAAACTCGAAGATATTTCTTCCATTGCAGCATATTTGCCTGGTCAAAGGGGTTTGGCATCTTTGGCCCAGGATAAAAAACTCTGTGCGCTGAGGCATGCAATAATGTAGACTGAGTTGTGCATGTGCAGCTTAGTGTACATTATAAAGAAGATAGTAGGGATGCACCGATACCGGTTTTTCGGTATCAAGTACGAGTACCGATATTTTGCTTTCGGTACTCACCGCTACCGAGTACCAATACCGGTGCTTCTGCTGGCATGGAGCCAGCTTCCCGAGCAACCAGGAAGCCGGGCAGCGGGTAATGACATGCCGCCTGCTTCCTCACTGCCCACGTTGTTTGGCCGGCTTGATGCTGATTGGCCCAGGAAGCCAGCTTCCCAGCCAATCAACATGAAGCCGGTTTCATTATTCGCAGCCCGGCTTCATGATTGCCCAGGAAGCCGGCTCCATATTCCCCTATGGCACTGCCAATCAGAGGAATATTTCCTCTGACCGGAAGTTCCGGTATCGGGGAAGGTATCGGAGCATTTGGGTGAGTACGAGTACTCGCCCAAATACTCGGTTTCGGAACTGATACCGATACGTGTGTTGGTATCGGTGCATCCCTAGGAAATAGTGAACACGGAAAGTAAGAAGATTTTATTGCAGAAGAGTCATAGCATGTCTCTTCTGGCAAAAAAAAGCCTTCCTGACCACAATTTTTTTAAACTATTTCACAAAGTTCCACAATGGCATGTGAGTGTATGTGACAGTGCTAGGCCAATCAGTGTCATGGGGAGTACATGGTCCTGTGTAACCTACAACTCCAATGACTTGTAGCTTCCACAGGGCTTCCCTTTTATTCCTTACAGCGGGGGAGTAAATGAAGGTAGGCACACATCCGGGGAAGTCTGAATTCAAGTGAACATGTCGCTTTTCCCTGCATAGGCAAAGCACAGATTCACTTTAACATATGATCAGGTTGCACATGAACAGTCAACATATTAACCATGTTGAAGTTAACATGAGATTGTACATAAACCGAACAATTGATGTTTTGTTTTTGCAAATCACTGAGCTATAATAGCTTTCGAATTAGCTTTGGGTACAGCTGATATACACATGCTTGTTTCTGGAAACAATTTTAAGGATGACATCTTTGGAGCCTGCACCTTCATAATGAGTCGGCGACAACTGCTCCCATATCTGTATCCTGACAGTTTCCTGTTATATTCCTAAATTGAACCCTACCATGTGAAAATTAGATGTGAAATCTCATTTGTAACTATGACTAACACATTCTCTTTTTTTTCTTCTAGTTTCAATAAAGCACACACTAGATACATTTCTTATAAAGGCTCACCAATCAAGGGAGATGGTAGACCTAATATGCAGACTTCAGTTCTGCTGGTCTGAAATGAACTGGTGAAACTGGGATGCAACATGTGTAACAAGATCTGTAGATGTTAAGGTTATTCACAAAAGGGTGAAGAGTTTGGAGAAGGCAGGAGAAGTAGACATGTGCGATTCATTTCGGAAAAATTTGTTTTTGGGACGAATTTCCGTTATTCACAGATTCGGATGTATCCGAATTTCCGAATAACAGAAATGACGAATTAAAACGAATCCGAATTTCCAGAACAAAATTTTGGACGTAATTCGTTAGAGGTAATCTGTACGCATTTTCGTTTGTGGACGAATTTTCGTTGCGGCAAAGTGACAGACAAAATATTTGTGTATTTTTTTTTTAAATGTCACTTCACTGCAACGTAAGGAAAAAGAAACGACAATTCGTACAGACTACCACTAACCAATTTTGTCAGAATCCAAATCCTGAAATGAGTTGACTTTCGGACCCGAATCCCGAAAAACAAAATAACACAAAATCTGAATCGAAACGAAACAGGAACTAGGAAACCCGATTGAAAAGGCCGGGACCTCAATTGGGCCCATCGCACCATAGGAATGGTCGAACCATCGTGCCGACTATGCTGAGGCATTGGGCAGCAGTGAGGGATGCAGCTGCAGCGGCTGCCGACACCCTTTGAAAGAGAACTGGCAGCTTTTCCGGAGGAAGTGATACCGAAGCTCGTGTTGTATCTATTCGTGCCCCCAGATAGACTAAGTCCCGGGTAGGGCACAGATGGCTTTTGGCCACATTGATGATCCAACCGAACTCTTCGAGAGTGGACAGCACGCAAGAGCGGTGAGTCAACAGAAGATCCCGATCCTGAGAGAGAAGTAGGATGTCGTCCAGATAATGGTAAATCCTGACGCCTTTCACTCTGAGAAAAGCCACCAGGGACAACAGGACTTTCGTGAACACCCTGGGAGAGGTGGTGAGCCCAAAGGGAAGGCACACGAA